ACTACCTTTCCAAATCCCATACGTAGACCTGACCATAACTAGTACCCGCCGCCACCACCAAGGGCCGGTGTGGGTGAATGGACACTGAGGTGGCCTGAGGATACCTCCCAAAATCCACCTCCCCTTCCCTACACTTCCAAAGATTTCCAACTCCCTCGAGGGCATCAACGCTCCTTTAGAGTTATCATCATGTCGGAAAAGCCGCCAGACCACGATATGATGCTAAACACCTCATCACAATCTGCTTCGCTCCGCCTTCTTCCATTACTGTATCCTTTCCAGCACCCCATCCACCACGCTGCTCACGCAAGCCCAACCCTCCCGCAAGGACCAAACCATTCCCCGACCAACATATGCAAGTACCTGTCATCGCGGGCTCCAACACCTCCAACAATAAGAGGACGGAACGGCCCTCTTTTACATTTATCAATGCCGCTTTCAGCGAGCGAGTGGTCAGACATCAACATTCTGTTGGCGAACCGCCTCACCACCTCCACCGTTTCATGACCATACTCAACCTCACCAACGCCACTAGCTGTGATGACAGGGTCAACCTGTTCCGAACAGACACCACGCACAGCGAAGATTCCACCAAGACTACCGAGATACCGCCAAAACCAACACCCGAAGACGCCTTAGTGAGTTCCTTCAGCATACGAGGGGTAACTTTCCTAAAAGTAGCTCAGTGATCTCTTTCACGCGCCACGAAGTTCACTTGAGAAAAGCCAGGATCTCCCCTTCTGTTGGATGTATAGGATCTTCTGGGATCAGATCAACCTCAGAAATTTGCGCCTGAAGCACTCAGAGAGAATATACACTCTACCATAAATTCACACAACTCAAGTGAGAAACCAGTAAGCAAGTGAAGTCAGCCACTATCCCATACCGTACTCAAGATCAGCGCTTGCCTACCGAGAAATTCGACGTGTTCCTCACTTGCACTCGAACATTGCGAACCTGCAAAGAATACCAGCGCTCGCCCAGCCAACCACTCTAGTAGCCCATCACAAATACGACCACTATGGAACCGCTACAAAGTCCGACCGACGTTATAAGGAGTGCTCTGTATTCTAACATTGCGACTCTCCGTTGGTCTAGTCTTGGATGGAGGGATACTGACTGTGGGTAAACTGCATGACGAGAGTGACAACATCAGGAATGTGGCTGTGGCTACTGCCCTGCTAACCCGGTGCTATAGATTCACTACGGCCTGGGACAATTGCTGCAACTCATATAGGCTAGGACTATAACTACAACGCAAAACTCCTCTTATGTGATAGCTGAAGTAATACACCATCCGATGTAAGGACGGGGCTCCGTTCAGATCTGCTGATCAAACATCTCCAACAGGCCCGTGCAAGGGAGCACCTCTTGCTCTGTAAGGAGCTCAGCGGTAATCCTAGCATTTATATGACCCAATACCTGCACCACTTTTTCATTACGACCAGCAAACGCCCAATACGAACTATTCGAAATACATCCAGCATCCACAGAGAATAGTGACATTCTCCTAGAGGTGATGCGATCATTGTCTGAATCCTACAGAGAGGCGGGGATCCTTCCACATCTTCCATACCCCACCATCGCTACTCTACACCTCTACTGCCGCTAAATGCGATATCATAGCGATCTCCATCTGACATTTTCGTCTTCAGTTTTCAACCGTACCGCATGATTCAACTCTCCTATAGCGCCTTCCGATCCCACACATGATTGCCTGATTAGTGATAATGAGAAATTCTAGGAGACCAGCCTAGGGCCGTCCCAGCTGCTCATCAGCTTGCCGAGGTAATCCACTATCTTTGCACACTCCTCGTCTCTACGATTACCTCAACAAAGACATGAACAACCCGGGGAACGAACCGGGAACCTATCGATTACGAGTGGCTCCCGCTAACGCTCCTCGCTGTCGTAGGCTACGACCCGTAGCTCCTGCTATCTATAACTTCGCGCTTAACCCAATGCTATACGTCAACAGAAAGAGAATATGCCACGATGATATCCCTCCATGTTTCAGCACCATATTTCAGTTACTACTACTACTACTTGTTCCGATCCATCCCCCGTCGCTATGAGCTTGCCGTCATCCCGAAATGCAACGTACGTCGTGAAGTCTTCATGCTTCGACCACAGCATGTCCGCCACAGAAGCCTTAACAGTCAGTCTAAGACCGTTAGGCAGTGTTGCTCTGCCAGCCCGAGGAGTTCCATCCGAGTACCATGGGTGGCAGTCACTTGACATCTACTAACAGGGCTATACGCAACACTGGTCACATCGGAGCCTCTGGTACCTACGATGACCAACTTAAGTGACCCCATCGGGCAAGGCTGTGCTGACCATCGGCCATGACGAATGAGAATACAATTCCACAAAAGTGTGGATGCAAAGTATAATCTTAATTTGTTATTACATGCCATGTTCTACACTGCAACGGTTTCACTCTTGGCGAGCGAGTGTATATACAAATCTTTACAGTGAGAAATGGCGATTGAAACGGTCCTTAATAACGAGCAATACATGATACAGCAATCACGTTCTTCTGCTCTCAGGCTACTGCCCTTGATTAAAGTGAGAAATGGCGAGGACAAGGCTGACCTATTCTCGGCCTTAAGAGCATGCTTATACTTCGGAAGTATTGCATCCTGTAAAAGGCCTCAGTTTTGATCTTGACAGCTCCCGCTGCGATTGGCCGAGGGATGGGATCAAGTTTGGTGAATTCCATCACCCTGATGGGATGAACAATGGTCATTGACGCAACGAGTCTAGGGAGCGTTGAGGAAGTGCACGATTTTCCAAGACATGCAAGATATGATGCCCACTACTAGTATCTTAGGGCATCTCCCACCACTATTAGTGATTAAGGACAGGCAGTTTAGTGACACCGTCTGTATATGCCGTCTTGCTCAGCGCAAACCGGGCATTCCACACCATTCCGTTGTTGCCTATAGTATGATGATTAATACACAGTCGAAGGACAAAGTGGATGAGGGAATAAAGTATCGGAAGTTGACTTTAGGATTTACACTAGGATAGGCACCAATTATA